TGTTGTGGACAGATGTTTGAAACCTTAAGATGACTCAGATTCATTTGTTGCATGGCTTTCTGCCTGGACAACCATACCATAGATTGTGCCATTTCTGCTTTACTGATGTATTACTGTGGTGATGACATATATAATTTTATCATAACGTTTCTGTTAATGGGCCAAACTGTGTCCTCTGTAATGACTCTGCAACCAAACCACATTAAATGTGAAGGACTACTTCTATCTTGGATATAATATCAGCTAATCTCAGTAGGATAACATGAGAGATGAACATTACTTTCGCTCTTTTCTGTATTTATTGCAAGTTTATCTGGCTCAAGGTGACAGACCCAAAATGAGCAGTGACTTTATTTGATGTAGTATGCCCAGTTGTTTCTTTACGGTCTTTGTCTGCATATGGGTCTTGGTCAGCTAAGGCTTTTACAGGTAATATTTCAGTGACCATTTCATTTAAAGTATGTATTCCCTGCTGTGTATTTTCATGGTTATGTTGCATTTTTTGCAGCTAATTTTTCATTAAGCAAATGGTGCATCTAGATTTTTATTTATAATCTGATTCAAAACTCTTTTGAATAAACAGAAGGGCTTACACACAAAGCTTTCATAGACTTTGAAGTGACTTTTGTCTTAAAATTGGAGAGAGAACAGGGACAGCATTTTTTTGTTTTTTTTTGTTTGCTTCCTTACATGATGAAAATAAAAAAAAATTGGTTTGGTTCTTTAGTTTTAAACTAACCCATTCAGAATGCAAGCTACATAATGGAACAGGTAAATCTTGATGATGAGTTTGTTTCTTCTGTAAAGCAACCATGAAAATACTAAGCCCCCACACCTTTCAATTTAGCTGTTCTCTGGCCACCTTCTTGTTTATAAATTAAATACTGTGACTCTCCTGTTTTGATACTCCTTATTGCCCCTGGTGTGCCTTGTTCAAAGAACTCTATCTGGGGTGTTGCAGCAAAGCAGATTCAGACAGTTCTGCTCGGAGAAGGAAGTGGAGAGTTTTGGTTCCCATTTTGCACTTCTGGAACAGTTTAGGGAAGGAAGCACCTTTACACCTTTTATTGTTTGTGGTTGCTGACATCATATCCTTCCCTGCCCGCTCTGTGCGTGTTTCCTGCCATTCTATCAAGATTCTTCTGTGTTGCAGAGAAGGGATAGTGTGTGTGCATGTGTGTGTGTGTGCGTGCGCATGTGTATGTCTGTGCACGAGCATTCGCAAAGAGAGACAGGAGCAGTCGAATGGTCTGCTGCATTTGTCCATTAGTCTTTTTCACCCTTCTCAAATCTCAGATCAATATTCTGTCAGCTATCACAGCCTCTGCCAAATCATATAGTGAACAGAAGCCCGCCAAAAATGAAGTTCCTCTTTTTGTAAGCAGTCTGATTTTTTTTTTCCATGTTTGGGTTTGCAAAAAGAAAAAAATGCTGAAGACTGTAGCACTATAGCATGTAACTATGTGTTTCTTTAAATACAAACTGCTTGCATGTAACCATGTCATTAAGTTGGAAGGTTTCTTTTATGTGGACAGTTACTTCAACAAAGCTTCTGGAATTATTTTGAGTTCTTTTTTAGATAATGAAAGCTTGCAAGTATTATTGAGTCATGTAGGATCTTCAACTTTTCTAGCTAGTGTGCTTTATTTATATTAGGGAAATACAATTTATCAGTTAATGGAAACTGAATAATTGATACTGTAGTGTTTAATCCTGCAGGAACTTTCAAAAAGTGTTAGAAGCATTGGTGAAGTCCTAAAACAGCTATAGGGATTTGTTGGTCTCGACAGTTCTTTGCATTCTGTTAGACTCGGAAGTCACCAACCTTTGAAGGTTATAACCCTTGAATCAGATGTCTAGATTCACTCATCTGAATCCAATTGATTTGGAATCAGACCAGCTATCTGCTTTATGTATGCACGTGTGCAAATGTATGTGCTGAAGACACAATTAGAACTATAGGCAAACACATATTAAGCATAGCATGTAGAGCAGTATGTGTTGGTACATATATATGTTTATAAAGAGGAGGACAGAGATACAGGAAACTACAGCATTCTCAGATTGTTTCTAGTAGCAGTATAAATAGCAGGAGTTATAGTTTGTTGTTGTTTTTTTTTTTCCTTAAAAAAAAAAAAAAAAGAAAGAAAAAAGAAAAAAAAAAAAAGAAATATATTTGCCAGACAAACTGAATACCTTTCATTTGCAATTAGACTAGTAAGCAAAAAGCAAATGGAGAGAGATTTTTTTTCAATGCAAGAAAACATAACCTGCTGCCTGTTAAAGCAGAAACATGTTTCTTTGCAAACTGTATATCAGATACATATGATCTAACACATTCTGTTTTCTCCTTCAGTTTCTCTCAGACTGTATGATAATATTTAATAACAAAGACATCCTTGCTCCTACATCTTTGTCTACCTGCACATCCACTGCCACTTTAGATAAAGTTAGTGTGGTTAGTGGATTATTCCAGGCAACGAAGAACAAAATTCAACCATTCAACTGTTTTATGAATTATTTTAAGACAACATTGTGTAGATTGTAGGACTTGTTATGGTTCTGACTTTAAACCCTCTATAAATGTTTTTGTTGAATGTGGAATTAAAATGTATTTTGTTGAATATGGAACTGATAAATGTGTGGGAAGGACTCAACATATAGCTCCTTCACTAAAATTTGTCCTTCCTGGTCAATTTTCTCAGCATTCAGTGATTTTCTCTGAACTCACTCAGCATCGGCATCTTGATCTAGAAAGCAGCTCTCATCCTTGCTAACCCTGTCACCACTGCTCTAATCTGTCCACCGTGACCTTCCACCTTGAAGTGAATAAGAGCTTAGGCAGGCGTAGCACTGTAAGCCGATAGTGCCACTGGCTTCAGCTGAATGAAAGGAGAGGAAATTGTTCCATATGCATTTGCTGTGGATTAGTGTATTGGCTTACCATTACAGAGAAAGCCTGTTAGGCTCCTTTGGGTCCTGCATGTGCATGGGAAACACCATTCTAACTTGCTCTTTGTATCAGAGGTAAGACTGGAGGAAAAACAGGAAAGAAACCCAGTCCAAGGAAATTCAAAACTGTTTCTAAAAATAGGCTGGTTTTGTTTGTCAACACTGAGTATCAGATAAGACTGTCTCCAAGTTTCGTTTAGGAAAAAAAAAAGAAAAAAAAAATTTAGAAATAGATGTGATCAATTTTACTTTTTTTTCAAAGTTTTGGACTTTTTGTTGTTGTTATTGTTGTAAATATTTCCATTATGTCTTTTTAAGCAGTGAAAAGTTCAACTCTTTTCAAAAAGTTAAAATATGGCAAAAAAATGTTTGCAGCATGTACTTTTTATAAAATTGGCAATTGTCCGTGTTATATGACACATTCTGCGTTACGGTAAAGACTAACGCATGTGTAAATATGCTTAAATATAAAACATAAATATAAAAAGGAATTGATGTAAAGAAAGGCAGCAAGTGTTACACTAGAAAGTTTGTTTTGCCCAACAAATTGTTTATATCATAGTGGATAGCTAGAAAACTGACTGACTGGTTACTTGTTAACTTATTTTTCTTTTTAGAGTGATAGAACATTGAGCAATTTAAAGTTTAATGTATGCAGAGAAAAGCAAGAGAGAATTGAAGATTGAGTGAGGTCTAGCTTTTCTACCTCAGTAGCTTTGAATCTGAGCCAAATAATGGATTAAATGGCCAGGACATCAGTTTAGTGTTACATAACATATTGAGAGAATTTATCAGGTCGGCTGCAAGACTATGAACTTATAAATAAAGAAACACCAGCCTCTGTTTTTAATTTATTACATTTTGATTTCCAAGGTAATATTTTTAATACACAATGGAACAAATATAAAAGCACAAAAAATCATTTTAAATGATTTAGATGATAAGATTTTTTCCTCTTTTGTATTAAAAAGAACTCTGTTCTCTTCTGTTCAGAATATGTAAATGTAAAAATAAGTCAAACAAAGGTAGAAGAAAAAAAGAAGAAGAAAGGTTTTTTACGTCAGAACTATATTGAACATCACTTCTGTATTTTCTTCATTTTTATCTAGTCTTGTAATGCTAAAATTTTTTGGACATGATAGAAATTAACTTTGTGATTTATGAGATTTTGTGAAGCAGGGAATGCTTACTGCAACATGTGTTTTTATCATATCTAAGTCTTCACTTTTGTGACAGAATCAGTATTGTAAACTTTGGTGAGCTAATAATGGTTTCTTACTAAAACTGTGAAAGTATTTTTCAAAACATTCTTAATTTATCATCTGTCCCTATTATTTTGTGCTGCATAGCTTCTGGTGCAAGAATTTTTATAAGGAAAGATGAACATATTTGCTGCTTATAAATCATTTGTCAGAGCCCTTTGGAATTTATGTTGAAATGAAATGAGGGAAAACACACTAACGTTTTCTTCTAGTATCTTGAATAATACTTGCTGTAATCTACATTCTTAAAGAATAAAGTTTTAAAAAGTTGGATTTAAACTAGCTGACATCTCTCATATATCAAATAGCACTTTAATAAAAGGCCATCCTATTTGCATAATGAGGGACATTATCACCTCTGCTGTCAAAACACAAGATTGTTTTCCTTTCAGAAATGAATTAGCTGGCCTACTTAGCATACATAGGTACAGAAAGGTTCATTAAGTCTCTGATTTAGCTAATTTTTCATATTACTGCAGTAAGTGATATTTAAAACCATCGGTTCTTAATTCTGTTGTTTTGCCAGTGTGTATTTCAGTCCTTTTCTTCATTTCTTGATATATTGGTGGGTTTGTCCATAAGCAGGAGGGAAACAAGAAAAAAGGAAAGAAAAAAAAAATGAATAATATTATTATGACTTCTGTAAGTTTCTTTCTAGAAACAGTACAAATTTACTATAATTTCTTGTACAGTACATTATAATTATGCTGCGTAGTTGGCTCCATATAACAACTTTCAAGAAGTTATCAATTTGGTAGTAATATTTGATTTCCTTTCTGTGTTTAGCAGGAACGGATGCAGGGGACTGTGAACTGAGTAGTGCAAGTGCTGAAGAAGGAGGCTTGTTTTGAGGAAACGGGAAAGAGGAAGAAAAGAGAAGGGAAAAATACGTAATTTTAAGGAAGAAGGAGAGAAAAAAAAACGGGGACTATGGGGAGAAAAAAGATTCAGATTACAAGGATTATGGATGAACGTAACAGACAGGTAAGCAGAAAAAATACTGGTTTTGAGCATCATAATTTTACCTCCAGGATGACTCAAGCACTCTCATAAGTGATTGAAAAGATGATAACTTTTTATAAGTGCATATACATATATATCTGTAAACAACATATGGAATACTGTCAAAGAAAAAGTACTTTTGGAAACGACCAGAAACTTCACACACAGGTTTTCTTAAGTTTAGAAACATATACCTAGGAATTTATTACTCAGTGCCTTGACTCTATCAAAGATGAATGTGTATCAGCAAATACTGAAATACTCTGTATTTGCTTTGACTTCAGTGAGTAATATACATGGTTAAGCACATCTGCAAGTTCTTACAGGATTCATGCTTTCAGTACTATATTTTATGAACTATTATGCTATGACTTTATTTGCAGAAGAACATTCTTCTGAATTCATAGATAACAAATTATTTTTCTACATCTTTTCAGTGTTTTTATTTTTACCTCTAGCATGTAAAAATGACACTACTTTATAAAAATCTTACAATTTATTGTCTGAACATGTATTTCATTGTCTGAACATGAATCTTAAAAACAATTTGAATAACCTAACAAATTCTAAAATCAACATACAATACTACTGACATGTTGTATTTATAAAATAAAATCTCCCTTACTGATGCTATGGCTAAATAGAACCAACAAGATTGGTTATTTAATTAATATCACTGCTTCAAGTGAAATGACTGGGTAGCCATCACATGTTATCAACATTATCTCTGCTAGTTAAAATATGGTCATAAACTAGAGAAAGTGCTTTCCTATTTCAGAAAGATAAAATTCAACAACTGGCATCGTAAAATAAAGTCAGTGAAAAGCTGATGCTGTTTACATTTGATGTAAACAAATGGATGGATGTTTTGTTTCAAGTGGAGATTCACAAGTGTGAGAAGCTCTCCATAAAATTATGTAATGCTACTATTAGCATTCTTCATACATGTGCCTGCAATTTAGCAGTAATCTTCAGTAGCTTTTTTGTTGTTGTTGTTTTTTAAGAAATTGATACTATGTTACTATTAGTATATTAATTATTTTCTTTTGTTCTATTAATTTCTTCATATTTCCAGGTCATTTCTTAAGAGGTGATTATGTTGTCATTAGACTTCTAGGTTTTTATAATATCATAAAAATCAATCTAGGCATAACAACGAATTATTATCTTTAAGTATTCTTTCCTCAAGTTTTTAAAACCTGTAGTGTGTGTACTCACTTGTGTTCATGACATAAAATCACACTTAAAAGCAAAAACTATGTGATTTTTGTTTGTTTTTTTGTTTTTATTTCTTTCTTTTTTTCTTTTTTTTTCCCCTGATGGTTTCCTGTTGCTGTGGGCCAAGCCAAGAAGCAATAATTCTATCAAGATAAATACAGCACTGTTTCTGTTTTAATTATTTTATAGCTTGGAATTGAAATTGGATTTGAAATATTGAACTGCATTTATCATTAAACATTAAGACACCAGTTGTTCAGAACTTTGCCACGCTGCCAGGTTTTCTTTATAAAGTGAATCTGAATTATCATATTGCAAATAATATTGAAAAATTTTGCTATTATGGAAAATTATTTACTCAAATATAATATTTATGGAGAACGTAATCCCCAGTTTTGCACAAGATACATTTTTCAATAGACTAAATTTATTTTAAAAATAAATACAGCTAGTGTTTCAAGTAAATTACTGTAGAGTTTCAAAGCTTCTATGACCAGCATTCAGTTCTAATAATCATCAATAAAACTAAAATGCTAGAATATGTTTATCTTGCTAGTATTTGATAATTTCCATCATTTTGATTAGTCAGATAAACTGTCAAGCTGAATGTATAGATTTACCTTACTTTACTCTATATAATTGGCTTGACTCTGCTTCTCATTTCTAATACTATACTGAAACATAATTTAGAAAGAAATTCTACTGACTTTATCCTTTTTGCATATAGTTCCCTTATTTAAAGCTCAGTGAAGCCATTGAAAAGATTTCCACTGATTCATTTGGACAATAGCATCAGACTTTTCAGTTTTAGAGATATATATACGATTAAACACAACTAGCTTTTCGCTAATAGTTGGTTATACTTTTAACTATTTTTAAGATATATCCTGTTTCATAAGCCTCACTATGTCTTCAAATACAATGTATCCCATGAGCCATTGCTGCTTATGTTAGAAGGTCCATCAGTTGATTTGTTTTCTAACTTATACACATACAGTAACCTTAAAACAGTAACTGGTTTATATTGTTGTTGGTTTTTTTTTGTTGTTGTTGTTGTTATTTGATGACATAAGTATCCTGAAAGAACAGCACAGATTAAAAGTTGCACAAAATAAACAAATAAATAAAGGTTTTGATTAATAAAATTAAGGTACCAGCTAAAGCACAGTTCTGCAACACTTATTTGTAACTCCACTTACCTGGATATGGATGAAGGACTATTCCATTTACAAAACTGTTCTGTTTTGTTTCCCTTCTTACCACCTGTCCTAAACATGTTCACAAAAGCAGCAGCAAATCAGTTGACTTGAAACTGTATTGTTGTTTGTTTTTTTTTTTTTTTTTTTTTAATGCAAAACCAGTATGGTATCACAAGTATAAGGCATGTAAAATGGGAACATGATGTACATAACTGTGCATCCTCAGCATAATCAATCGCATGGATTCTCAATCAGGACAGCACACATAGAAATACGCAAAGCGTGTATTGAACCAGTGGCGATAGCTAAAGTTGAATTCTTCTGACTTCCCTCTCTGCAAGGATGAATCTTTTTAGATAACACAGTTTGTGCAAAAAAATTTTAAACCACTACAAGGCCTGTGGGAGATAATTGCTGTCCTTGCTTTTCTACTAATTTGTCCAGTGTCCTGACTAGCTCTTTAGGCTAACCATTGAATGGGGTCCTTGTTCTCTCCATATAACAGCTGTTTTCTTCCACACTACTGTAGCAGGAGACTCCCCTACTGTTCAAAGGGCTTGTACAAGTGGATAGGGAAGGACAAAAATAGTGCTGACCTCCCTTCAAGAGGATTTCTAGAGCAAGTCCAGTTGGTTGGATTTGTGTACTTTAGTGACCAAACCGTTAATAAATGTAAGTTGACAACGTGAAAAGAGTTATATGTCTCTGGCTGCAAATCTCATGGAAATGTGCAATATGCTGTGTGATCTGTAGTTTTCCAGAAACTATCTGAAAATTCAAAATGCTGGGAAAACTACTGCAACCTCAGTTAGGCCTCAACCTACTGATAGAGGCCCAGTCCTGTAATGCTGGACTGTGCAAGAGCTATGTCATTGACTTCAGTGAGTGAAGAATTCAGTCTTTTAACTAGGAGGAGTCATTAATTTAATGTTGCTTCATGTGGGCTGCCAGTTGGCTATATTTTCCTGGCTGTCATAGTTACTGTGTGATGACAAAGGCAGCAAGGATGTTTGAATCTTCTGTGATTAACCCCAGTTGTGCAATTTTCATAAATGCCCATCTGAAAAAATCCCTCTCACTCTGCTTCTAGCCAGAGAGAGACAGAGTATAAATAACGGACAGGGTTAGAGTGTATATTTATTTGGGTATTTTGGTTACCATCATGGTCTTAAATGTAAATTAAAATTCTCAAGAGAATCCTGTTATAAATAGTCAATATGACTAGACACTTTCTTGTTCCTATTATGACGCTGGGTATGTACTCTTCATAAGTATGGAATAAATTGCTGCTGTTGTTGCTTGGGCTCATGAAATTATGGTAATCTTGACTACCACCCACCAGGGTCAACTGTATACATGATGTTAGTTGTACCACCAACAGAACTGATAGCCAAAAATTTTAGAACTGAAAATGGATGTTGAAAGCTCCTGACAGCTACAAGTTCAGTATGCAGAAATTGCCATTAAACGCATTGATGAAGGCTGCTATGAAGAATTCTGGATTACTTAAAAAAATAAATAAATAAAAAAAGAGGAAGGGATTTGCAAAGACGTGGGTGAAAATTATTTTCATGGGTTTTTTAACTAAAAAAAAAAAAAAAAAGAAAGTAGTTCTGTCATTGTCAGCATATGAAAGAGAAATTGCATTCAGTCTCCTCAGAAAAGTCCTTATAAATTTTCTATTCATTTTTCAATAGTTTGAAATTTTTTGTTAGCTTTTGTGAAGGCCTTTTGTGGTCTACTGTAGGCTGGGATCATCTGAAATTTCCTTCACAACAGTCCAGACAGGGCTTAAAATAAATAGGTGTAATGACGTAATGATATTGTATTACTACTATACAAGATCACTTGCAAAATGTCTTGTTAAATCCATGGTCTGAGAGCTAAACCCAGAGGTACATTGACTCAGGAAAGAGGGCTGGTTAACCCTTTGGCATTCTGGCTTCAGGTCTGGAATACCCTCTGATTTTAATATGCTGATTTTTCTAGTTTGTATCCAGAAAGATCTATTCTTATATGGTGATCACTCTGATCACCTTGATCATTAGTTCTACATTTATTTTTCCTGCTTCTGAAGCACACTAGTGATGGATTCATGGTTAAAACTGAGTTGAACTTATCACACTGTTTAAAACTCTCCCAATTTGTAATGAGTTGCTGGGGTCTCAAGTTTTATTAAATACCATAGGAAGTGTATATTTCTATATCAAGGTACTTAACTATTTAAAACACCCTTTTAAAGTATGACGTCTAAGTAATTATATGGGATACTACAGTAATAAACACTCACTACTTAACTTTTTCATGAATAGACTTTTTTATCATCCTTTGATTCCAGCAGATCTGTAAAGTTATAAAACAAGACTGACTGCAGCTATCAGCACCACAGAGAACAAATTAAGGCAGATAAGTAAAGTGAGGTTATGGAACAGGGGAAGAATATCCTAGAGGGAAATGACCATTTGCAGGAAGACCTAGATTTGGTCTACTGACTTCGATACCTAATGCTGCTAGTTTCGAAACTAATTTCAGCCTCATGCATCTATTTTTATCTATGCTTCACTT